AGGTGGAGGGGCTGGGGGAGGAGGGGGCAACTCCCGGGTCAGTGAGGTCCAGCGAAATGTGGGTTCCCTTAGGATGGACCGTCTCTTCTCAGGGAGTGGAACTGGGGTAGATGGGGGAGTTGGAGAACGTGGCAGAGAGGGGGCTGGTGGAGGTTCCTGTGGGGCAAGTGGGGAGGTGGTGATGGGAGATCGCAGAATAGGTGAGACCTCCACCTTTGGGGGTTTGGGGGGGTCTTCATCCATAAATCGCCGGGGTGTCTTGATAACACGGGAAGAGCGGGCACTCACCACAGGCATAATAAACTGCCGGATGTTCTTCAGGAAGGTGGTACTTTTGGGGGCCACGGTGGGACTGTCTTCTGTAGGGCCTCCCATGGTAGTGCTGGGGGATGGAGTGGGAGGAGAGGTGCCCTCTGGCCCTGCCCGAGCAGCTTCCCGCTCTGCCCGCTGGCTGGGAGTCAGGGGAGGCCTGCCCCTCTTCCTGGAGCACGTAGCTGGGACCACAGTAGGAGGGGATTCTTCCTGCTCCTCTGGGGCAGGAGGCAGTGGTGGGGATGGTAGGGGTGGGGGGTACACTGGGGGTGGTGGAGGACAAAGTGGGGGTGGAGATGTTGAAGGGGGTGGGAGGGGTGGAGGAGGTGAAGGGGCTGGAGGAGTCGGCGGTGGTGATGGCAGCTTTGCTTCTTCCTTTTCCTTGGCTAGCATCGTCTCTTCCTCAGTTATAGCTCTCTCTTCCTTCTCTTCTCCCTCCTCCTTGTCTTTTGCTTCTTTCTTCTCCTCTCCCTCCTCCTCCTCCAGCTTCTGCTCCTGCTCCTGCTTCTTCCAGCAAGGGTCCCCTTCCTGTCCTGATCCAACTCTTCTTTGGGGGGCATGCTGCCAGCTTTCCCCATGTCGACCTTGACCCTGACCTGATTCAAGTTCCAAGGACAACTGTCCCATCTTCACTTTTTTGGCCTTTGAAACAAACTTGATCACAAGGGGAAGTCCACCCCGGCCTCGGCCCCTGCCTCCACGGCCTCCTCGCCCAGACTGTCCTCCACGCTTGGGGGTCCCAGGTCCTGGGCCGGGGCCCTCCTTGCACTTCCAGCTGCCAGTTTGGTGTTTTACTGGAACCACAGGAGGTGGGGGCTCAGGTTTGGGGATTGTCACAGCTGCTTCTGCCACCACTATTGCTTGTTGCTTCTTCCTGCAAGGGCCTGCTGGCCGTCCTGGGGGCCGTCCCCGAGACCGACGGGGGGTGGAGGGCTCACATGCCCGGCTCCGGGGGGTTTGAGGTGCCTGGGCCCGCCGGAGAAGTTCAGTCAGTGCCTGCACCATCCGTTCTGTGCCCTCCTCACCCCGTCTCCGGGCAGGGGTCTTTGGGGGGGTAGGAGCCACATCCGCTAGGCGAGGAGGAGGAAGGGGAGTTGTCTTATGCTTGCGGCCCCGACCTCGAGGGGCTCGACCTAAAAGGAGAATAGGTGTGGGGAGATGGGTCAAGCTGGCCCTGCAGATTGAGAAAAGTGCTCCAGGAGGGCAGGGACTAAGTCTTACTTTTCTGTTTCCCCCACAGCCCAGCCTAGCTTGATCTGTTAACACAGAACACACTCAGTAACTGATGGAGACTAGCTGAACAGCAAAGACCTGACACGAAGGGTGAGAATAACATTCCTGTGCAGCTACAGAGGTAGAGTTTCCCCATCACTCACCTCGCTGGGATCGGAGCGCAGAGCGCAGGGAACTGGGGGCCACGTCTTCATCTGAATGAAAACCCTGAAACTCCTGATTTAGGGGCCGGGGTGGAGGGGAGAAATAGCAGTCAGTGCCAAAGCCTTTGTTCCACCTGGGACTTAGGTATAGAGGAATATCCCCAGCTTCCCCCTTAACGTGCCCCTATCTATTTACAAAAGAACTTTAAAACACTGGAAGGTCAGAGAGGAGTAGAAAACAGGGTGTCTCCCTCAGGACGGAGACACAAGGTATTCTGGACCCCCATTCCCAGTGCCAGCCCACATCAGCACAGCCATCAGTGGTTTGCAGACCCAAAAGAGAACACAACAGGGTTACCCAGGGTCAGGCAGTAGGCCCTACACTTAGACTGCATCATATTCCAACCCAGAAAAAAATGGGATCTCCATTTACAACCTTTCAGGCCATAGTTTCTTCCTGAATGAAGATGGGAATGGGGGTACCCAAGCAGGATGCATGTGTGTGGGGGCATCAAATGGTTTTTGATATTAGGATCCACACTGAGCCCTCAAGTGGTTATTAACTGTCCTAAGTAATACAACCCACACCTTCCTGTCTTTTCTGAAAATTGGGGGATACACGCTGAACTGAACTTAGACCTGCCAGAGTGCCCAGTCTCAGCCTTCACTCCACTCCTCTTCAACCATGCCCCAAGAGGAAGCCCTCCACCACTCTACCTTAGATCAGAAGAGGAACTGGGGCACTGGTGAAAGCAGGGATGTGTCAGAGATTATGAGGCCCAGCGGAGCAGTCTACAGGTAAGCGCCCAGACAGCTCCAATAAAGCCATGCTGCTGCTGTTAACCACCACCACTAGTTGGGCATGCAGTCCCCACTGCCTCCTCGCCCAAACCTCTACTGTCCTAGCTTTGCTGACTATCGAGAAGGATCAGCCCAGGACACTTCAGCAGGACTCGCCTCGGGCCCAAGTGCCTAGCTGCAGCCAGGGTTCTCTCCACTTTCAGAGGCCCTTTCCACCGAAAGCTCCGTGCAGTCTACCTCCTTCCGTGCCTTTTCCAGGACCCCTTCTCTCCGCAAGGGCCCTGAGGACCCCCCTTGCCCACGCCACCCCTCGGGCCACCCAGACCCTTGGAAGCCCCTGGCCTCCGCCCCGCCCGGCGCCGGGGACGCCTCCGACCGCCTCACCTCATCGTCGGATTCCCCGTCACTGCTCTCCTCCTCCGGCACGCAGCCGCGGCTCGGGCCGCAGCCCCGGCTC